GACCACCACTGACTGGAGGCACGTTACTTACGGGCACCTCTGATGTTCTCAGAAATTCAAGCAGAGCTTCCAGAGACCCCAGTGTAGACGCTTGGACATAGACCCCTTTCTCTTCTAATCTGATAGCATTCAGTGTCTGCTTTAACTCATGGATCAATTCATCCTTGAAAAGAAATTGGATTTGACAAGGTTGGAAATACAACTCTGTCAGCAGTAGCCTAGAATTAAACCATGTTTCTCTTTTTAATATTCATCTGAAAATATGGAACCCAGGCTTACAAAGAGCAAGGCACACAGCAGGGCCTGTGCTGAGTGGAGGATGGGCCTTGAGGGCCGTGCCTGAACTGTGTCCCATGTTACCTGTGAGAGGTTTATGGACACTGACATATATGTCACCTCTGCTCCATTTGGCAAATAAGGTAGATGCGTAAGCAAATGAAATAAGTTTTTTAAGTTAAAAGTACAACATGAAGGTAGTGTGTACCCAATGGCTCTGCTCGACTGTCTGAACTGTGAAATACCCTGATCTCAGTGGCACTTTCCTGTCACCACTCCTCCAGAGATGGAGAAAGTGTGAACAAGTAAACCACCATGCCAATGCCAGTAAGATGCAGAAACCCATGCCATACTTGAAAATTGGCCAAACGGGGAAAAACTGTATTCAACCGATGAAGTAACTTGGATGGACCCACTGCACACGTTTTACTGAAAACCAGCCCCCATCTTATCGCCTGATTACTATGCTCTAAAATGGCAGCCAAGACTTTAAAGTTTTTTTTAAAGTTTTATAGTTAATGGATATAAAAAAAAAAATCTGTGGCATTTTTAGTCTAATGCATGTTTTCACTTTCTATCAAATACTTATTAAAATGTAATGTATTTATCAGGAAAGAAAATATCTCTGCCCTGTTCTCATTGGCCCTAAAGTAGCCAATTCCCTGATGGCTGTGACTTTACTTTGTCTGAAGAATAATGGTGGTGTCAGGACACTAGAGGAGCCATGGGCTGGGAACAGTGGCAACTACTCCTGGGCAAGCAAATAAACTGTGGCACAAAGTTTGCTTTTGTGAAACTATGCTGGGCTCGGGGGTGGGAAGGGGTGGGGGGCGGGCATCAGACGAATAGGTAGATAGCCTTTAGGGTACTCGGGTACCTAGTAAGGTTTTCCTTAGTTCTGTCTGCATATTCAGGTACCTAAAATAAAACGTAGATAAACTACTTCCAGCTCTCCATTCCTTTTTAATTTAAATAAAATATATATTTTAGAATTCCAAATAATTATAAAAATTTATATAAATAATTAAGCTGATTCATATGACTATACAAACTGAAGTAATTCAAAAGCATCAACTGTTTACTAAGAGGCCACCAGATAAGGCTTCATGAGACAAAGGTACCCATTTTACTCACCCTTCATAGCATGTGCTCTTCTGACACATGACAGAGTTGACAGCTTTAGAGGAAAAAAATTTAAATAACTTACTTTAAGCACCGGGATTTCATCTTCTTTATAAGCCACCAGGAGGGGTAAACCAGCCAATGTTTTCTCTAAATCTTTTCCAAGAATCTTTACTCCTTGAGCTGCTTCTACTTCTTTGTGTTTTTCATACTGGCTCTACGGAGATGAATATATTTGTTACCATTTCTATTTGAACAGTGGTTAACAGTAGGACATTATGTAAGAGACAATAGTTTCACAACCTTGGGGTAGAAAAAGATTTCTTAATCTAACACAAAAAGCAATAAACACAAAATAAAAGAGTAATTCAATATTAAAATTATTTGTTTCACAAGATACCATAGAAAAAGTAAAAAAAGTCACAGAGTAGAAGAAAATGCTACAATATATACCAACCAATAACAGGCTAATATTTCGACTACATAAACAAATAACTTGCAAAATCTGTACCATAGATGGATGCTGCCAGAGCACATTGAGCATTTCATAAAGGAAGAAATTTAAGTGGCTAATAAAAATTTAATGACCAACCATAATAAAGTCAGAGAAATGCAAACAGAAACAGCAATGTGCTACACACACCCCAGAATGGGAAAAACTGGAAAATCTGACAGAATCAGAACTGATGAAGATGTGAAGCAATGGAGACTGAACTACCACAGCTGGATGAGCAGCAGATGATGCCCGCTGGAGATGAGAGGCAGTGATGACCCCAAGCTTTCACACCTAGTATACACCTAGATAGGCTTGTACATCTGCACCTGGAAACAGTACAAGAATGGCCAGAGCAACAGCATCCATAAAAAAACATTAAGCCGAAGATGGCCTACTCTTCCCATCAACAGGAGAACCATGATATACTCAAGCAGCGGAACATGACACGACGACGACAGGAACTACGGCTACATACAACAATGCGGACAAATCTTAAAATTATTTTTTTGGCTGAAAGAAGCCAGATACAAAGGAACAATGAGAATGATGCTATTCACATAAAGTCCACATGTATTTATTTTCTCAGGTATTAAAACTATAAATAAAAAAAGCAAGGTTATTAGTTACTATCATGAAAATGGAAGCATGGTTAGGTTAATCTGGGGAAGGGGGGTAAGATCAGGAAAAGGCGCACGGAAGGCCTCCAGCGTGTCAGCAACATTCTGATTCTTTATCTGGTCGTCTGCTTCCTAAAAACTGGTTAAACTTTTCTTCTGTGTTTTGTGTACTTTTCTGTATGAATATTTTATTTCATAATAAAAAATGTTAATGAAAAAATAGCAGTATAAACCCATGACATGCTTTAATTTTGTGAAAAGCTTAGTTGACAAATGAGAACATTCACATATTGCCTCGTTCAGAGTCCTTCCTGTATGGAGACACCTGAAATGTGAAGGTGTGTGTGCATGGGTGCATTTGGATGTATGTGCGTACGTGTGTGTGTGTGTGTGTGTGCGCGTACACGTGTGCATGTGTGGGTGTTTGTGCGTGTGTGTAGTAAGCCAAGCAGCTCCCAAAGTGAGGAAACAAACCCCAGCTGAAATTCTGAATACAAAACTTCCCCACATGTTGCAGCTCCCCAGCGGGCTCACCTTCACTCGCAGCTCCTTCATCGGCGGGGGTAACAGGAGGCCTCGGATCTGGGTCACAATGGGCCCCTCCACTCCGGGAACGATAACCGTGTCCCCTTCCCTCAGACGCCCATTGATCAGTATCACGTCTATGGTGGTGCCCATCCCTGGGAGAGCCTTGACCTACGAGAGACATCATCACAAAGGAGTGAGACACAGGCTGCAGCACCCCGCCGAGTCAGGTCTAAAAGCGGGACCGTGCCCGCCTAGGAGCTGTGAAAGAACGATGAGCAACAAGCTGAGAAGCTGGCCATTACCTCCATCACCTGCGCTCTCAGCTCCTCACACTGTGCCAGTCTCTTGCTCAACATAGTCTGTGTCAACTCGACCAGAAGGTGGATGAGACTCCCCATCCCATCGCCAGTATGTGCAGAGGTGGGCACCAAGGACACAAATGTGCGGGGGTCTTTGTTCTCATAACACAAAGCCGCGTTCAAACCCTAAGACATGAAAGGTAAAGTCACTGCGCAAGACTGCACAAAGAGGCGCTGGACTGGTACAACTAACTAGAGGTGAGACACGCAGCAGAGGCTGATCATTCCGAAACTCATAACGTCAAGAAAAGATCATGCATACCTTGGAGGCATTAATTACGTAACAGAAAAATAGTTTCTTTCCAAGTTAACTCGGATTTTAAAATTAAACTACAAGATCTCTGAAATATCGGATTTCTGATTTTACAAAGAAAAATAAGGGAAAAAAATAAAAAACACTAATTACCATTAATGGGGCAGAGAACCAGTATTAGTGAAAACGCTTACTTTATTGCAAAGACCATGCAAATGAAAGAAGAAAATTCTCTACACTACAGGCTCTTCCTGAAGCAGAGAAAGCTTTCTTACCTGCTGTGCAAATTCTACTATGATAGCCTTTGCTCGCTCCTCAAACTCATCCTTTGTATTCTTTTTCTGCTTCTTTAAAGTGGCAGCCACATCAGAGTCGGGGCTCTTTTTCCAATCATACAACCTATCAATCTGGAAAAGATTTTTTGTAAGAAATATCTCTAAAACATTCAGAACACTAGGGAATTTAATTAACATTAAAAACTCCAGAAAACTCCTAACGTGTATTATTTATGTCCAGAAGTGTGAATTACTCAGATGTTTTATTGTACCAAAAGCCCCCGGGAGCCTAACTGCATCCCCTATTCAATTAGAAAGTGCTGAGGTCTGAGCTGCCCATCTGCCATTCATCTGCAAAAGATGAGATCTTAGAATGGTCCTGGGGGGCCATTATCATGCTTCTGGAATTCCAGAATGGTTCTGGAAAACTAGTAGACAGAAGCAAAGGTTATTACAGCAAGTACCATCACCAGGAAACTTACATACCAAACAAACTAAAAATAATTATTCCCTATCTCAGGAAATAGCCCATTTTGTTTTATTGCTCAAATTAGGATTTACTGTTTAGTTGATCAAATAATTATTTTCCTTCACTTTTCAAAAGATAAATAGGTACAGAAAATTGTTTAATAACTTGAAAAAACAAAAAAGCATAATCTGTTGACTTGGTCTAAGGGGATAATTTAAAGTAGCAGACCAACCAGAAAAACTGGAGAGTAGAAACAGACCCAGAAATGACAAAGATGATATAATTTAGCATACAAGGTTTTTACAGAACTTATAAATAACAACTTTAAAGGGAAAACATGAACATGTGGAGCTAAAAAATATATATAATCTGAAATGGAAAATTCACTGATGAGCTTAATAGCAAATTACACAGTGCAAAAGAAAAGATTAGTGACCACAGAGATATAGCAATAAAAATGATCCCAAATGAAGCATATGAAGAAAAATAGATGAAGGAAAAAACAGAAAAACCTTCAATGACTTATGGGATGATATTAAGAGAAGTTAACTCAAGTTCTAGAAAGGTCCTAGAATTCTATCAAACAGTTAAAGAAGAGAGAGCAGAAAATATCTGAACAAATAACCAAGAATTTTTTTTAATTGAGCATAAATTTATAAATGTAAGAAAATCAAAGTAGGATAAACATTAAGAAAACTATTACATAATCTCATTGACAAAATAGTCTTAAAAGCAGTCAAAGAAAAGATACATTACATACAGGGGAACAAAGAACAACTAGAGATAAAAGCCAGTAAGCAATGATGATGAAGGAAAAAATATTTTTAAACCTAGAACTCTATTGTAATTGAAAATATTCAGAAAATATTTTGATCTAAATATGATAAAAACAACATGTCTAAGTGGTGCTTTTTTTAACAGTAAGAGGCATATCTTTAAATGCTTATGTTAGTAAAAAAAATCTGAAATCCGAAGCTTCCGCCTTAAGAAACTGGAAAAAGAGCATATGAAAACAAAGTAAGCAGAAAGAAAATCAACACTGAAAAACCGTGACAAACAATAATAGACAAACAACAAAGAATATTGATAAAACCAAAAGCTGGTTCTTTGAAAGACACAAATTTTTCTACTGATAAAAGAAAAATAAAAAAACCTAAGTAACTTATATCTACTTAAGAAATTCCAAGCTGATGTGACTTTACTGGTGACTTCTATTAAACACTTAAAGAAGAAATGCTATTTCTATATAATTCTCTCAGAAAATAGAGGAGGAAATACTTCTCAACTCATCTAAGAGTCCATCATTACACTATCAAAACCAGTCAAAAGGCATTACAAGAAAACTACATACCAAAATCACTCATGAATACAAAAAAGCAACAGAAAATTACCAAATCAAATCCAGCAATATTTGAAAACTATATCATGACCAAGTACTCTAATCATGACAAGGTTTGTTCCAGTCATACAAGGCTGGTTTAATATCTAAAAAATCAATAGTAAGCAATAAATGGTACTGGAACAAATGGACATTCGCATGCAAAAAACAATCTAGAAACACACCATACATCCTTCACAAAAATTAACTTAGAATGGATACCTGTTTAGATACAACACCAAAGGCACAATCCACAAAACAAAGAACTGATAAGCTCCAGTTTTGTTAAAATTAAAAAGTGCTCCGTGAAATAACTGAGTGAGATGACAAGCCAGACTGGAAGAAAATATTTGAAAAAGATACAACTAATAAAAAACTATTCTTCAAAATATATGAAGAACTCTTAAAGCTCAACAATAAGAAAACAGAATCCAATCTAAAAATGGGCCAGAGTTTAACAGATACCTCACCAAAGATATACAGATGGCAAATGAGCATAAAAAGATGTTCTACACCTTAGGTTACCAGGGAAACACAAGTTAAAAAAATGACAAACCACCACACACCTATTAGAGTGGCCAAAATCCAAAACACTGACAACACCAAATGATGGTGAGGATGTGGGGCAGCAGGCACTCTCGTTCAGTGCTGGTAGGGATACAATATGGTGCAGCCACTTTGAAAGATAGTTTGGCAGTTTCTTAATAAAACTAAACTCTTACTATAAGATCTTGCCACCACACTCTTTGGTATTTACCCAGAGGAGTTGAAAACTCATGTCCACACAAAACCTGCACACAGATAATTATAGCAGCTTTAGCTATAATTGCCAAAACTTGGAAGCCACCAAGGTGTCCTTCAGCAGGTGATGGATAAATTGTGGTCCATTAGACAACGGAGTATGATTCAAAGAAATGAGCTATCAAGCCATGAAAAGACATGAAGGAAACTTTAATGCTCATTACAAGAAACCAATTTGCAAAGGCTACATACTGTATGATTCCAACTGCATGACATTCTGGAAAAGGTAGAATTATGGAGACAGTAAGGTCAGTGGCTGCCAGGGGATGAGAGGCAGGGGATGACTAGTTGGAATACAGAGGATATTTAGGACAGTGAAACTATTCTGTGTGATACCATAATGATGGATACATTTGTCTAAACCCAAAGAATGTACAACGCCAAGTGTGAACCCTAAAGTAAAGATGAACTTGGGGTGACAATGTGTCAGTGCAGGTTCAACTGTAACAAATGTGCCCCTCTGGTGGGGATGCTGATAAAGGGGGAGGCGGTGCATGTGTGGGGACCGGGGTAGGTGGCACATCTTTACATCTTGCCTTCGACTCTTCTCTGAACCTTATGCTGCTCTAAAAAAGTTTTAAAAATAAAAAATTAGTAAAGCCTCCCAAAAACATCAAGAGTGATTCATGTTGTTACAAAATAAAGGAGAAAAGCCACATGAACATCTCAAGAGATGCAGAATACACACCTGACAAAAATCAACAACCATTCATAATTTTAAAATAAAACACTCTCTAAGCAACCCAGGGACAATGGGAATGTCCTCGACTTAATAAAGTGCATTTACAAATAGGCCTACAGCTGACAACGGTGAGAATCCAAGAACCTTCCCGAGATCATAAAGAGAGTATGGATGTCCGACATCACTTCAACGTTGTTTTAGAAAGTGTAGTAAGCACAGTAAGGAAGAAAAAACTTACAAAGCATACAAATGAGGAAAAAAGTATAACAGTCTTTATTTGCAAATAACTTAATCATGCATATAGAAAAACCCACATGATCTACAAAAGAAGCTATTAATTCTAATCAGTGAATTTACCGAGATCACAAGATAGAAAGTCAGTATATAAAAATCAATGGTATCTCTGTTTAAAAGTGACAATTAGAAATCTAAAAATTTTAAGTGCTACTTACAACAGCATCAAAACCATGAAATACTATGGATAAATTTAAAAATATGTCCAACACACAATGAAACTATAAAATACTGTCAAGAGAAAATAAAGACCTGAGTAAATGAAGAAATACCATGTTCACTGATCAGAAGACTCAATTTTGTTAAAATGTTAATCCTCTCAGAATTTATCTACAGATTAAATATAATTCCAATCAAAAGCCTAGAAAGCTTTATGTAGAAACTAAGAAGCTGATTCTAAACTTTACATGGAAAATTCAAGGACCCTAAAGTATCCAAAGCAATTGGGAGAAACAAAAAACTGAAGAACTTACCACCACCTGCTTTCAAGAGATACTGTGAAACTACAGTAACCGTGGACAGGTACTAGTGGCATTCAGAAAGACATTCCGGCCAAAGGATATACATACGGTCAATTAATTTTCAACAGATTCAAAACTAATTAAATGAGGAAGTAGAACTTTTTCAACAAAGGCTTCTGAATCGGATGTTCATACGGAAACAAGTAAACTTTGAACCTTACTTTTACACCATGCACAAGAATTAACTAAAAACATCACAGATCTAAATGTTAGATATCTAGAAACACTGGAGAAAATTTTCACGAACTTGGGTTGGAAAAAGATTACTTATACAGAACACAATAAACACAAATTGTAAGAAAATTTCTAATGAGATTTCGCCAAAATTAGAAAACTTTGCTCTTCAAAACACATCAAGAAAATGAAAAACCAAGTGCTTGACTACAAGTATATCTGCAACACATACAACTGACAAAGGACTTATAACAACAATATATAGGGAACTCAAAATTCAACACTAAACAGTCTAATAAAAAAATGAGCAAAGGATTTAAGTAGATATGGCACAAAAAGAGAGAGATAGCAAATAAGTACATGAAAAAGTGTTTAATGCCATTAGTCATCACAGAAACACAATTAAACCATAACAATTTAGCACCACACACTTATTAGAATGACTGGATGGGGCAAGTGTTGGCAAGAATGTGTAGAACTCTCACACGTTGCTGGTTAAAATTAAATGAGCTACCATTTCTTTAGGAAAATGTGTTATTTTCTCATAAAGTTGAACATACAAATACATATGATCTAACAATTCGATTCCTATTTACTCAAAAACAAATGTCTAAACAAAGGCTTGCATCAAATGTTCATAGCTGCTTCATTAATAAGTAACTTAAAATTGGGGTCGATCCAAATATCCAATAAGTAAATAATGTGTGGTATTATTCAAATAATGAAATATTACTCAGCAATGAAAAGGAACAACCTATGCTATATTCAACATGGATAATTCTACAACATGAATAGCGAAAATGCCAAACTGAAAGGATTATGTACTGTATCTAATTCCTTTAACATGAAATTCATAAAACAGGAAGAATTAGTCTATAGAAGCAAAAAGAAGATCAGTGTTTGGGGCCAGAGAAGGGGGCAGACTGGCTGTAAAAGAACACAAGGGAACATTCTGGGAAAATGAAGATGGTCTGTATTCTGAATGGTGGTACATATGTGTATTTATAAATCTGTCAAAATACACTGAACTTAGCAGGAGTACATTCTTATATGAAAGTTATACATTTTTTTAATTACAAAAAAGTAAGCAGCTTGTTTCCACAATTTAATTTTTCAGGAAAGCTTACCTTATTGAGTGCAACAATGAAGGGACATTTTTTAGATTTTAGAAGGTTGATAGATTCGATTGTCTGGGGCTCCAAACCATGCATAATATCGACAACTAAAATGGCAATATCGCAAAGAGAGCTTCCTCTGTTTCTCAGATTACTGTTGAAAAGAAGAGAAAAAATGCATAGACATCTTGAAATTAATACTTTTATTTAAAGAAACTTAAAATTTTAATTTCTTTGTAAAATCTAAACAAGAACAAAATGAAGTACATGCATTAGATTCAAGCGCCATTAGCCTTTCACTTTCCAAATGCTTATCTAACAGTGAACTGACATCAGCTGGAATGAGTTCCAGAAGTAACTCCAATATTTCTGTCAATTTTACTGACCAAGTCTTTTACACTAAGGAATATAGCCAAGAGGCAACGGGATGAAATTCCACCCGTAATGAGATTCACTGGAGACAGACCAGGTATGTATTAAGATTTGCTCTTCAAAGTAGAAAAGATTTCTTTCTACAAAAAACAAAAAACAAGTATCCAAGTAAAATACTGCTAAATCAGAAAGGCATGGATGAGGACTGGGGGTTACTATCAATCACTACCTAGGTCTGAGCTGGAAGCCACAGATCTCAAAACACCAGCCAACTTTAATGATTAGTCACATGTTCTCACAACTGAACCTTTAGACGAGGTTTTCAGGCGATCTGCTTGTGGACAGAAAACTCAACGCGCTCTTACCTGAAAGACTCATGCCCAGGAGTGTCGATAATCAGCATTCCAGGGATCCGCACATTCTCTCTATCAAACTAGAAAAAGTGGGGAAAATAGCTTAAGGACGCCAAACAATGAAAGCTTCTTCACAAAATGAATATTCTGCCACAAAAACATTAAACTATCTCCACTTCCTTATCTACTAGATGAACTGTTTCAAAAACAGTTAATGAGTTAACCAACAAAGCATAGCAGTTAATATTTTCATTAATATCAAAAGTTTTGCAGGAAAAAAATAACATTCCCTTTGTTATGGTCATAAAACTGTGGTGAAATCTAAATCTGAGCAGAGGGCTAATAAGTAACATGACAGCAGTCGTCAAAGTGATCATCTACAAAAAGCTGACACGCAAAAGGCTCTCGAAAACTGGAAATGTTTCTTGTCCAATTTTAAAACAATTTTAAACTCTGAAAAATATCCCATGTGTTTTAAAGAAAACTTACATCAACCTAAAATATTAAAGAATAACTTCATATTCTGCTTTATTCAAATCAAACCATAAACATTCGATTTTCTGGATAAAAGTACACAAATGGAAACATTAGAACAGGCTTGAGGTGAACATTCTCTTTTAAGCTAAAGAGTAGCACTATCAAATCTCTCTCACACACACAAAACATTTTTTACTTTGCTTATCTCTACTTTTTGACAATCTTCAGATGATTTTTTTCAAAATCTTATTCTCCTGATCTAGGGTAAAATGATTCACATGTAAAATATTTTAAATTTGCAATCCCACAGTGATCCTAAATCAACATTCACCAAGTGCCACAATTACTTCCACTTCAGTGTCTGGAATATAAACACAATGGTCAGACAAGGCTCATCTGGAGAACTTTAACACAGACCTAATAAAAATCATACTCTATAATGATGTTCTAAAATAACACCAGATTTCAAGTTCTGACAATTGGTGGAATAAGCTGTTATAAATTCCCCATTGTCACAGAAATACCCAGGTAAAGTACAACCAAAATAAATTTTAAATTATAAATTTGAAAAACTAATTCAAGAAAACTATCCTAAAATAAAGATTTTGAACCACATACTGAAACGAAGACCACATAACTAGAAAACTAACCCAGAATAACCAACACCAAGATGAAAAAGACCACGTTACTTTTAAAAGGATGAAAACCAGCCTGTGATCAAACCTGAAAGGCAATACTTCTGTGAGAAGAAATGAGAGTAATTTAAGATGATGGACTGAAAATGGGAACCAAGGGTTTTATATGTAGCCAGCAGACTTTCCAGGATGAAGGCTATGAAGTAACTTCTCAATATTAAAAAAAACTCACAGTATTATTCCCATTATTCCTTCCTTAGGAATCTACCAGGAAACAAGCTTCATAAAACACAAGCACACAAAACAAAAACTGGAGAGACAAGCTCATAGATCCTTCCTATATACAGAACTCAGACTAAGTAAAGGTCCAAGGGAGATACTAGCATGTAATATACACCGTGTGTCATTTATTGCTTCTCAGTTCTAAATTTACCACTTTCACTGCTGTGACAATGGCACTGGGGAATTATTTACAAAGCCCAATTCCAGGTCTGGAGTACATTACAGATAAAATGAACCTGAAACATCTTGCTAATCCCAGATAGCCCAGATACAAGCAAAGACCAACAAGATGACAGAATTGTATCACGAAGACCCAGGAACCAACCACCAGGCAAAGGTGAGACTATCTCAGTACAATATAACTGAAATGGATTAAAAGAGTAAATATGAAAAATAAACACACAATAAATACGTTTAAATCCAAGAGTTTTTATTAATACAAAACCAAATCAAACTGGTGACTATATATTTTGAAAGCTGGTAAATAAAGGTAAAAGATCAAGCATTTATTCTGCCTTTCTTATACATACTCTCCCCAAATAACAAAACAGCAGATTAGGGGAAGTTTCTCTCTAGAAGTAATCCCATAAACAGAGGTGGAGGATGGGACTGGAATATCCACATTTTGTAACCCCTAACATTAAAAGGCAGGGATTACTTAAAAAGTTACTCCTGGGAGGAAGAAGAGGGTGGGTTTTGATTAGAAAGGGGCCCACAGGGCGTATGAGGGCAAGGCTCCACCCCCTAACATGGATAGGAAGACGACAGATCAGGCTTCACACTGGTCTGATGTGATTTCCTTTATTGTGTTAAATGCAGCATAAATGGAATGTCTCCAAAGTAGAGAGAATAAGGGAGATAAAAATATGTATAATCAATCCGACAGAAGGAAAAAAGAGTGGGGGAGGGAACCCAATTTTTAAACACAGAGTTAAAAGTGTTAAAACACGACGGAGAATGACATACTCTAACTTCAGAATTGTGACTACTACTTGGAGCAAGAGAGAAGAAAATGGAATGTGAGGGATCCTACAACGTGTAATGTTTTTATTTCTTTAAAGATAGATCTGAAGCAAAATAGAAACACTGGCATATATGTTAATTATGAATGGTAAGCATATGCATCTGTTATACTATTCTGTTTTCATTGTTTGAAATAGTTTATATCTTAATGTTTGTTAGAAATGAAAACACTAAAACACAGGGTACTTACATTTTTAATCATCTTAGTCTGTTCATTAATAGCTTCGAGGGGAACATTGGTAGCCCCGATTTGCTGTGTGATACCACCTGCCTCACCATCTTGCACATGTGTGTGACGGAGCTGGGATAAGATGGCAGATTCAGATTTGTATTTCAAAATACAAAAAGAAGCAAAAGCAATAATAAAGCAGTAACTTATTATAAACAGAACTGCGTATAAGTGCTATTATGATTTCTATTAGCTTTTTATAAGGTATCATTCATTCGTTTAAAAAGTTGTATCAACAAAGGACTAATGGTTACCAGAGGGTAGGGAGGAGCGGGCATTTAAATCATTTCTTCAATTGAAAAAATAAATAAAATAATAAAATAAATAAAAAGTTGTATCAATGCATAATAGTGTTTTCTTACTTTATCTAGAATTTTTGTCTTCCCAGTGTCCACATGTCCAAGTACACAAATAACAGGGGCTCTCAGCTTTTCCGTATTTACATTTTTACTATGTTCAAGTCGTCGTTTCTAGGAAAGGGAAAAAAAAATCTTGAAATTAAACATTATTTCAAACCTTATCATTATTTTCCTTTAAATTATTTTGCCTTGGCAAGAGAATGCCACAGCCTTCATCCATGTTCCTTGTTGATTTAACTACATGTAATGTCTTGTACAGTGTAAGCTTTACAATCCAATTCCCATCACGGCGCCTTTGGACAAAGGGAAACCTGGTTAGAAGAGTTTTCAGAACAGCACTGAGTGTGCAAGTAAGAGCACTGTGAACTGTTGGCTCAAACTTCTGTACACTTCTGCACATAGCTAATTTAATGGAATATACTGAATACAAAAGGAACACTGATCTTTCTGTCATACTTACTACACAGCACAACCCCTGACTTATTCACTATTCACTACAACTTCAGAATTGTATAACATTTTAAAGCAATTTATTTCAAAACTTTATCCAGTGTACAAATGCTATAAAACCATTCAATTAGGAGAGTTTACTTAAGCCTCTGCCTAAGACATCTAATAGCATTTCCCATCTTCCGAAGATGCCACCAAGCACGAGAAAGCTTGTCCTTGAGCCACATGTTTCTCTGTACCACTTACCTGAACACTTTTTCTGAAAACCAAACAAAACCACATGCCAGTTCTTTCAAATGACAACCTTTCAAGCACAACAAAGCTGGCATTCAAATGAGAAAATTTCCAACTGAATTCTGAAGTAATGTCATTTACAACACTATTTTCCATCTATAAACCATTTTTGTATGAACTTTTTATTTTCTTTTTTTTCCCCCCCTCTTTAATTCCGCCCCTCCCACTTCCACCCCTGACCTATGCATGTTGCTGTTTCCCCTTAAGAACTGGATCTCTGAAGGCAGGGCATCTCCTCCCACATGCACACGGCTTGCCCCCGGAGCCTGGCACCACCAGCACACTGCGGGTGGGGGGGTGGGGGAGGGTCTGGCGCACCGGGGGTATGGTCCGTGGCTCCACCTAGGGTGCAAACCCAGGACCTTCTGCGTGTAAAGCAGATGTGCTAACCACTACACTATGAAGCCAACCCCAGAACTACTTATTTTCATTTCTACCCCTAGATCTTTCTGTAGAAACTGAAAGAAAAATATTTTGGAATGTCAAAGTGAGATGCAAGTATTTACTAGCAGAGAAATAAGTAAACAAGAGCTTCACAGTATGCAGGACTCGAATGCGAACATCATGATCTTACGATTTGATATGGTTGAAAACTACCTTCTCTCCCATACTTGAAGTATCACAATGTTCTGGAGGGGAATGTAGTAGACTTTAGCTCAGAAATTCTGCCTCTTTAAGTATTTGTCCTGAAGCAGTGACAGGACAAGTACACATGCACAACAGGGCTTGTTCAGCTCAGTATTGTTTATAATCGTGAAAATTAGTAACTGCTTAATCTTCTGTAGTGAAGGATTTCTTAATGAGTGTTTCCTAAACACGAGGCTGATGATATCCGGCTGCATAGTCATGTAGGTAGAGACTCCTATTCACAATGGAGATACTTGCTCAGGAAGTCTGAGGTGAATTTCACAACAATTATAATATATAGCAAGGTCTGGGAACCATGAAAATTGTTAAGGACTGAAATGTATCTCTCCCAAATTCATGAGTTGAATCCCTAACTCCGAATGTGATAGCATTTAGACAGGGACTTAAAGGAGGTAATTAAGGTTAAATGAGGTCATAAGGGTGGGGCCCTGATCTGATAGGACTGGTTCTCTCCCTCCTTCCCTTCCTGGGTCTCTGAGCACACCCAGGGAAAGGTCTCAGGGAGGACATCTGTAAGCCAGGAAGAGAGCCCTCACCAGAAACAAACCTATTGGCACTTTAATCTTGAACTTCTAGCCTCAAGAACTATAAGGAAATAAATTTCATCTAAAAATTGTTTAAGCCTCCCAGCCTGTATACCAGCCTGTATGGCACCCTGAGGAGACCGATACAAAGTTAAGTTAGGATGCTTCTATAAAATAGAATACGATATGCGGCTATTAAAGGCACTGAGGCAGGACTTCCTGAATGATGGAATGAGGGGCTTAGTAAATCCTCTTCCCAAAACGAAAAGATAAAACTGGACAAAAGAATCAAAACAAGCACTTAACGACTCTAGAAACACGCCAAAGGCATATAAATATAAAACACATTGAGAAACATCTAATTCAAGAAAATCTACTGGCTGTCAGTAAGAGCGGTGAGGCCTATGGGGTTTTAGACTGGAGTCACACCATCCCATGTCTCCCATACGTGGGGCAGAAGTGTGAGAGATGGGGGTTCCACGCCTTAGGACACTGTCAAAAATAGTAGTGACCTCAATGGCAAACGAAGAAGAGACTAAGGTCTCTGGGAGGGCAAGAGATAACTTGGAAGACCAGTCAGATTTAACAGGGAGGCCTGTGGGATAAGACAGCCAACATAGACACTGATAAGGCCCTACCTATTCCTTGGTAAATATGTTCAAAAGACTAAAGGGAACCATGTTTAAAGAAATGACAGGAAGTATGATGATGACTCATCAAAAGGGGGTGTCGATGAATTATTAAAAAACACATAAAAATTCTGAAGTTAAAACATTCAATAGCAAATTTAAAATTCCACTAGATGGGCTCAAGAGTAAATGAAAATAGTAAAAGAAAAATCAGAGAACTTAAAGATAGATTAATAGAGATTATATAATCTGAACAATGGGGAAAAAATGAAAAAACTACCAGAGCCTCAAGAGACCTATGGGACACCCTCATGTATACTGATGTGCATATACTGGGAGGCCCAGAAGGGGAGGAGACAGAGTATAGGCAGAAAGAAGATGTGACTAAGAAGTGGCAGAAAATTTCCAAATTTTGATGAAAACCATTAACCTATACATCTAAAAAGCTTAAACTCTAAGTAGAATAATTACAAAGATATCTACACCAAGATACATCATGGTTAAATTGTTACAAGTCAAGGTCAAAAAGAAAATCTTGACAGCAAGAGAAAAATCATTCACTGTGTAAGGGAACCCAAGTAAGTTTAATAACTGAATTCTCGTCAGTAGCAATGGAAGCCAGAAGGCAATGGGATGACATATTCAAAAGGCTAAACAGAAAAAAAAAAAAAAACTGTCAAGCAAGAATTCTGCATGCAGCAGTATTATCTTTAAAAAAAAAACAAAGGTGAAATAAACAATTCCCAAATTTAAAGACTGAGAGAATTCACTGCTAGAAGAGCAGCATGATGAGAAATACCACAGGAAGTTCATCAGGCTAAGATGAAGTGATACCAGATGAGAGTCAAAGCCACATGAAGGAAAAAGGAGCAATGCCAAAGGTCATTATATAACAAACATAACAGAAAGTAAAAATGTATCTTTTTCTATTTTCTTCTCTTAACTGATTTAAATAACTTCACGAAATAATAATTCTAAAGTTGTATGGTTGAGCTTATAATAAAGTTGCAATAAATACTACAAAGAGCACAAAGGCAAGGGGAGGGGAGGAACTGGAGCTATACTGTAGCAAAAAAAAATGACACCAGACAGAAATAATCTATATGAAGAAATGAGGAATATCAGAAATGTTAATATTAAGATGCTACAAATGTGTTTTTCTTTCTTCACTGAATTCCCTTAAAAGATCTAAGATCAAGACATTAGTTTTACTGGATCTATAACATTTATAAACATGTAACAATAGCGGCACAAAGGAAGGTAGGAGAAATGGAAATTCTAGTGAAATTTTATTTCACTAGAATTAAGCTACCAATATTCTAAAATAGATAATAAGATGCATACTGTATTGCCTAGAACAACCATTAAGAAAATAACTTCCAAACCAGATGACACCAAAAGATATGCCAATATATAGAAAACAAATAGCAAAGAGAGGGAAGAAAGTCCAACCATATATATAATGACTTTAAATGTGAATTAATTAAATACTTACAAAGTATTTAGTCATATTGCGTGACATAAAACAAGATTCAACTACATGCTGTCAACAAGAGACACTTTAGATTCAAAGACACAAATAAACTGAAAGTGTTAAGACTGAAAAAGACATGCCATGCAACTGGCAACTGTGAGAGAGCTGGAGTAGCCATATTAATATCAGACAAAACACATAAAAGAAAAGAGAGGGATATCCACATCCTTGGGAAGACGTAACAAGTATAAACATATACGTACTTAACAGAGCCCAAAATACATGAAGAAAAAACTGGCAGCACTGAGAGGGGAGATGTACAATTCAACAATTTAGGAACTTCAATAACTCACTCTCAATAATGGATAGAAAAACTACCCATAAAATGAGCAAGCATATAGAAAATGTAAACCACACCATCAACCAAACTGACCTAACTGAATACCAGACCCACTGACAGCAGAATCCACATTCTTTCTAAGTGCACAAGAAACATTCACCAAAAGAGACCATTTGCTGGGGGGATATGACAAGTTTTAATTATTTTTAAATGACAGAAACTATACAAAGTATGTTCTCTAACAACAATAGTCAGAATTTATAATTAACAAAAGAAGAAAAATACTGACATCCATAAATATTTGTAAATTATGACAATGTACTTCTAAATAACAAATTGGTCAAGGAAGAAGTAGTAAAGGAAATCCAAAAATATTCTGAATAGAATGAAAACAAAACATATAAAATTTACGAGATGTAGCTAAAACAGTACTTAGAAATTTGTAATTTTAAATGACTATATACAATTAAAAAAGAAGAGTGTCAAATCAATAATTTAAGTTACCATCCTAAAAAATTAGCAAAAAAAAAAAGAGGAAGCTAAACCCAAACTAAACAACTTTAGTGAAATACAATAATTAGAAAGATAAAAATTACTGAGAATGACTCAAGATGAAAAAGAAAATATGACAAATATAATTGAATGAGTAATTTAAAAATCATCCTATAAAAAAGCTTTATTGGTAAATTCCACAAAACATTTAAAACAAGAAATAATATCCTTCAGAAACTCTTACAGAGAATCCCAGCTAATCCTAGCAGGCTAATTATTAAACTGACACCAAAGCCAGACAAACACATCACATGACCAGAAAGCGACTGATCAATACTACTCATGGGTATAGATCACAAAATAACAAAATATCACAAACCAAATCCAGTAACATATAAAGAGGGATATATATCACAATGGAGTGAGATTTGTTCCAGAGATGCAAGGTTGGTTGAACATTTAAATACCAATAATGTAACACATTGTTTATTAACACAGAAAAAGAAAAAAACATCTTAATAAACATACAAAAAGTACCCATCATCCCTTCATGATAGAAAATCTCAACAAACTAGGAAAAGAAAGGAATTTCCTCAAACTGATAAAGGGCATCTATCAAAAACTTACTGATAACATCATAGTTAATGGTGAAAATGTGAATGCTTTCCCCCACAGACTGGGAACAAGGCAAGTGTGCCTGCTACTCTTAGCACTTCTATTCAACAATGCATTGTTCTAGCCAGAGAAATAAGGCAAGAAAAATACGCAGGAATGAAACTGGAAATGTTGGAAATGAAGAATTTAAACTGTCTTTTGATAAATGACATGGCACTGATTACAGAAAATTCTAAGGAATCTATGAAAAACTATTAGAATAAAAAAATTTCAGTACAGTTGCTACACATAAATCTACAAAAGTTGTATTATTTATACTAGCAAGGAAATAAATTTAAAATATGATCTCATTCACAATCGCATCAAAATAATAAAATGCTTATATTCTGAAAACTATAATACATTACTAAAAGAAATTTTTAAAGCTCTAAATAAATGAAGACAGCCTGCTTCCAAGGACTGGAAGATTCAATATTAAGAAGGTAATTCTCCCTAAAATTGACCTATATATTCAACACAATCTCTATCAAAACTGGACTAGGCTTTTCACAGAAACTGACAAGCTGACCCTAAAATTTCTATGAAAAAGCAAGTGCCCTGAATAGCCAAAACAACCTTGAAAAGCTGGTACAACATTGGAAGGCTAACATTTCCCAGTTTCCAGATTTATGATACAACTAACGTAACCAAGACAGTGTGGTACTGGCATAAGAACAGATACACAGATCAATGAAAGAGAACTCAAAGTCTAAAAGTAAACACTCACATTACCAATCAACTGATTTGTCAGAGATGCCAAGGCAATCCGATGCAGCCTTCTCAGGCAACGATACTGGTTAAATTCACGAAGAATGACTTTGGTTCCTTACCTCACATCATACGTAGAAACTATCTTAATTATCTAATTATCTTATAACTAAAAATATAAGAAATAAAAGGTATACATTTTTCAGAAGAAAACAAGACAAAATAGTCATGACCTTGGGTTAGGCAAATATTTCTTCAGTACAACACCAGAAGCACGCTTTATAAAAGAATAATTTGATAAACTGGATGTTATCGAAATTAAAAATTTATTTACTTCAAAAGAAACTGTTAAAAAAATGAAAAGAACTCTTTCAACTCAATAATAAAAAGACAAATTATAAAATTTAAAAATGTACAAAAATTGGAATAGATGTTTCACCAATGAAGATATAGGAATGGCCAATAAGTACATGAAGAAATGCTCAACATCATGGAAATGCAAATTAAAACCACAATAAAACATACTATCTAATCACAACCATTAGAATGCCTGGACTTGAAAAGACAAGTATTAGTGAGGATGCAGAGAAACTGGAACCTTCAACTGGTGAGAATCTGTAATTGTTCAGCCACTATAGAAAATAGTTTAGCAGTTTCTGAAAAAGCTGAACACAAATCTACCGTATGATTCAGCAATTTTACTCTTAGGAATGTATCTAAAAGAAATAAAAACACACTTTCACGCAAAGACTCATCTGAAAATGTTTACAACAGTACAAAATCATAATAGCTAAAAAGTGGAAACAACTCAAATGGCCTTTAACTGGTGAACAGATAATAATAAAATATGGTATATTTATACACAAAACACTATTTGGCAATAAAAAAGAACAAAGTACTGCTACCACATAGACAAATAGAGTATGTGATATAAGCCAGACACAAAAGATCACATATTATAGGACTGAATTTTTATGAAATTTCCAGAGATTTCTATAGAGACAAAGTAGATTAGTATTTGAATGGGGCAAGGAATGGGGAGTGATTGCAAAATGGCACAAAGAATCTTTTGGGGGCAATGAATATATTCTAAAGTTATGTTGTGTTGATGGTTGCACAACTGTAAATTTACAAAATGTCACTGAATTGTACATTTAAAATGCTTCATTTTTATGGTACGTAAATCATATCTCAACAAAGTTGCTTAAAAATGTGTTGAGCTAAGAGGTCTATAGCATACTGTTATGTGGAAAAAAGTCTACAAAATTTCTTAACTTAATTTTAATTAAACATTCTTAAAAACTTGAAGCTCATACACAGAACTACTAACAAATGTAGGGAGTAAGATAATGGAGGAACTTACTTTCTGCTTTATAGCCATTTTGTTTGCTTGTTTTAAATCATCGAACACAGAACAAACTCTCCTACATGGGTACAGAGCAAGGGAACTGGCTTGAGCAGGTGTTGCAGGAAGCAGCAGAGTCACCAGCGGGAATGAGAGGAGAATGCTACTGGTATCTAGTGGGCAGAGGGTAAGGATGCTGCTTGACAACCTGAAATGATGAGGACAGTCCTCCACAACAAAGGCTTGTCCAGCCCCCAATTGTGAACAGATCCAGAGTTGAGAAACCACAATGTACAATAATAGAACCACCTCAGTCCTTTAGAATCTCAAGAAATGTATCCCTGTCTAGACTTTACTGAAGGAAAAGGCAAATACTGATACATATGTATTAAAACAAAAACTGAAAAATTAGAATTCTATGTGAGAAGATAAAAAGGAAAGCTAAAATAGTTTAGCATCCTCAAGCAAACTAGTTTTTAGTGTATATTGATGCTAAGTTGACATAATTTAAGAAAAGTTTCTTGACGTCCATTGCATTAAGTAGTAAAAATATAGTTAAGTCAGCTAGGTACTTGGACTTTAATAAACAGAAACCAAAACAATTTAAGTGACCAGACGCCTCACAGTGACTAATGTAAACATGTAACACAAACACTTAACTGATGCTTATTACCATAGAGAATGTGCTCAGAACCTCTGTCTACCTAAAAGCTGTCAAAGAGCATGTGAACTCTGGAGAACACAAGAAACAAGAGATGCAGCAGTCTCCACTCTGACATAGGCTAGGGGGTGTGTCCTTGGGTCAATCACTGTCAACCCATTATGTCGAGACATTACAAAACGGGACAAGATACGACTCTGAGACTGTGTGTGAAGTGCTGCTCAGTGAAGGCCTCAGTTTTGGGGACACTTCTAGCGACCACAAAGGAGCAGGGAGGAGAGGAGCCAAGGGAAAAGGACAGCCGGTACCTCAATCCTCCGCTTGGCTTTGTCGTAGGCCCGCTCCTCCTTGGTGCGATCATCATCTGAGTCGTATTCCGACTCCGAGCTCATCTCTCCACTGGGCCTCTTGTCTGCGGTCTTCCCCGTCTCCTTCTCCTCTGGCACCTTTTCCTCCTCCTCCTCGCCTTCGCTGCCCTCGCTCTCACCTTCGTCCTCGTCCTCGTCCTCGTCACTCTCCTCCTCCTCCTCGTCTTGCTCTTCCTCCTCCTCAGGGTTCTCTTTCACTTCTATGTGCACCGTGTTTCCTTTCAGAAAAACAAAGATTTTAAAATAAATGAAAATTAAAAATGAGACTTCCGTCAGGTAACAGAGACCTTAAAGACGACACTAAAAGTGTACCAAATAAGGTGGCAATGTTACATCGCTAATTCCAAATTAAGGTTTTCATGCATCAAAAATGCAATGTTTATCTATGTGCTACAATGAAGATTGCTATTTAAAAGTGGGCCCTTAATGTACCGATCCATACATAAGGTGACAGAAAGAAAGGCACTACTGAGCAGGATATGAGAGAGGAAGAAACCAGGGAGGTAAGCACATCGCTTAGTATGTCTTTCCCACTGGGGACACTTGTCGATTCTGGAGGAGAAGCTGAAAGACCAAGCAGTGCCTTTACCAACCCTGTAGTACTTCAAGACCAAGGCACTGGGAGTTCAGGCCTGTCGAGGTTGCAGGGGGTGAGGTGGCAGATGCTGGGTAACACCCTACTATGGGGTGAAACTATGGAGAACTGCACCCAGCAGTAAGGGTGACAGCAAGTAAGCAGAACCTTCTCATTCCTGGAATACTTCCAGATTCTCTCAATTCTAAATTTGGAATGATTCCACATTGATAGTTCCCTCAGACTCCTGGTAGATGTCTCTGGAGAGAGAAAACACCATCCTTGACCACGAATTATTTCTACACTTTTACAAGTATAATATCCAGCACAATATATAAAAACAAACCACACAAAAAAATTCACATGAGGAAAGCTAGCACATAGATGCCAACAGGGCTTCCATATAGCGATGTTATAAAACCAAAATTTTAAAATGGATATGCTTCTAACATCCAAGGAACAAAAGACAAGATTAAAATTTTAGAAATAAAAACCACAGAAAAGTTAAATGCAAATTCTAAAACAAATACAGGAGATAAAAACAGCTGAAGACAAAATTAATGAACCAGAGGACAGCAGGAAAAACAATGTAGAATGAAACATGGAGACTCAATAGGTGGAAAATACAGAAAAGAGGAAAGATACAATAATATAGTAAGAAGGTCCATCACAGGACAACTAGAACCCGAGGGGAAATAACAGCGCACTGCAAAACTGACAAAACACAAAACCATACATTCATGAAGCTCTACAGGCAGAATAAAAAAAAAGAAAAGAAAAAAAAGAAATGAACCCTGGCAACACCATAATAGAACTGCTGAAAACCAAAGACACATGAAAAATTCAGGATGATACCTGAATTCTCAACAGAAACAGTAAAAGCCAAGACAAGGCAATAATATCTTCCAAGTGTTAAATAAACAGAATTTCACTACAGAATTCTTCATTCAGTAAAAATGTACCCTTCAAGAATAAAGAGGAGATAGAGTATTTTTAGAAAAGCAAAAATGGAATGTATCACTAACAGATTTGTATTAGAGGAAATTCTAAAAGTTCTTCAGCCAGGAAGAAATGACCCAAACAAGAGATCAGGGATGCAGTGGACATCAAGCGTAATAGAAGCAAAGTGTACAGGCAGACCAAAGCAAACACTGACCCACACTACGCTATTGTGGGTCAAGAACAATGCTATGTAAACTGAGGACCAGTACGTACTGGTCAGGTGTCCCATGGCCTTCTCACCAACTGGGGAGCACATGACCTTAGATAACGAGAGCGAGAAGACCCACAGTAAGTGTCTAGATTAACCACAAAGTAAGTGGAGAGAGAGTACACAGCTTCTAAGCTCACAGGAGGAGGAAAAAAAATGTAATAAAAAAAAAATTCAATAGTTCAAATTATGGTTAGAAAAGAAAAAGAAACAGAATAAGGACTCAGTAAGATGATAAATATAAAACCAATATACTTCATTAATTACATCAAATGTTAGAAGAGGCTAAATGCACTAGATAAAATATAAAAACAGACAAACTGGATTTTAAATCTCAACTATATGCTCTTTAAGGATATAGAAAGAGTAATAAAGACAGAAAAGACCAAGTAAATCAAAGTTAGTACAGCTATATTAGTATCAAGTAAGGTAGACTTTAAGGCAAAAGGCATTGCTAAAAATGAATAAAATATAAATAATAAATAAATCAATGATAAAAGAGTCAATTCATCAGAAAGATACAGGACTGTACTCATCTAATAATATAGCACTAAAATATATGAACTAAAAATTAACAGAACTCAGGAAGAAATAGATGATCTATATTCATGATGAAAGATTGATTTCATACACCACTCTTTGTAACAGAGAAAAAGCACGCCAGAAAAAAACTCAGAACATAAGAGACTTGTACAAAATGACCAACAAACTTGACCAATTATAGCAAACAAGGCACTTGACTACTGCAGAATATAAACTCTTTACAATCACATGTGAAATATTTACATACATATTATTTTGCTGGGCTGTAAATTAAATCTCAACTTATTGCAAAGGAGAGAATCATGTATGTTCTATGACCACAATGAAATAACAAGATAATTAGAAAGAACTCATTTATGTAAATTAATACACTTCTAAATAAATCATGGGTAAAAGTTAATATGTATCAAAATAGAAATTTAAAAAATCAACATATAGAACTTATGGAGTTTGGCTAGAGCCATGCTTAATAAAAAATTTATACTTTTAAAATTATGTATTGGGGAGAAAAGGCAAAAAGAAAAAAAAGACAAATATCTATCTCAAGAAGTTAGGAAAAAAAGCCAGTAAATTAAAACCAAAGAAAGTAGATTTTAGGAATAAAAGACAGAAAGTAAAAACAAAGACATTTTTTATTCACAGTGATTAGGTACTATATTATTATTTGTATTATCTTTGTATTATATTTTAACTTAAAGGGGCTTTTTTGTAGGCCAGCTTTAATAACCTAACTCTATTTATAACATTATCACTCTGAAAAAACATATTCTAAATCCCAGACAACTATCTTACAAATGACTTTCTGAAAAAGCATTTATTCATAAAATGAAGATCCACATGTCGATTTAGGAGCCATGGCAATGTAACTGGTCTCCTGTCTGGGAATGCTCAGATGGCTTTCATAATCAGACCGACTACTCCTTTAAATATAAACCACCTCCAGTAACCACTAGATTTACCAGTGTGCTTATGAGCTAGTCACCTTTCTCTCTCTCCTCGTCACTGACCATAGCCTCCCAGTCATCCAATCCAGCATCCTCAGTTTCTTCTTCCTCTTCTGTTGTCACGAAAGACACAGAAAAAAGCAGAAAATTATGCTAACATAAAAAAGATGTTTTCACTATGCAAAAAATACGTATACAATTTCATTATCTTTGTAACTATTTTTTCAATATAGCTAGCATGTTATAATTTACCATCACTAAATGCTTCACAATTTCCTAGTATTTTGAATATATCGCCAGATTTCATATTTTAGGTCATTAAAACACTAGAAACTAGCGTCATTAAAACAGACGCTAAAATGTCCCTTTAGATCTTGAAAACGGCACACGATCATACTACTTGAAGACAAATGAAATTTCACATATCTTTTTGATCTTTCAACTTACAGTTTAATACATTCTTTTGCTTTAACCTCTACAGATACATACAAGCACTACTTAAATTACATACGTGGAGGTACCATCTACATCTCCAGCTGAAAATAAAAACAGAATATTGTACTTACAACCCAAAAATAGCCAGGAAGGTATAATTCTGAATATTAAAAACTTAATACTCCAACGACGACTCTCCCAATCAAGCAAAATTATTCTCGAATAAAAAAAAGGACGTGTGGTGTCTGCTTCCCTGTAATAATCATTATTTGCCACTAAGTCTAGATAAGTCATCTTGAGGAGGAAGAAGAGTCAGGAACAGGTGCCCCAAACATCGTTCTAAATTATCGATTATTTCTACTGATACAAGCATCACCTAAAATAGTGGACTGCTATCAACCTGAATTTCTCTAATTTCATTAAGCTAAGCTGAGATGTGCCCAGATCAATGATCCTTTCACACTGAGAACAGAAAGGGGGAGGAAAGAAACCATCAGCAGTAGCTTTCACCAGTGTGGTCAGTCTCAACATCCTCCTCCGTTCCCACTCCTACCTTTAAGCATTTGAGATTCTTCTGATCTTGACACAAGCCTCAGGCTAGCCTCTCGCTCTCCTATCAACAACTAGTCTCATGAATTAGCACAATGTTTATCTTAAAGAAAAAAAAAAAAAAGAAAGCCAGAAACCTTCTCCAACCTTAAAACATACACACAATGAATAAGTTAAACCTTTTATGGATTTACCAAAAAGAGGCTGACCTCTAAGGTTTAAAACTACCAATTTTTATGACTCTTAATAAGTTCTAATTAAAAATGCTTCAATTTGCTTTGGAAGGATTAAACAAAGAACTTCAGGTCTTGACACTACCTAAGATTTCTGACCCATAAAAAGAAATATCAGAAAATTCAAACTTCTATTGTCTCTACAAAATATTCTGCCACTTCTGAAAAGAACAAATTTGATTCAAGTCTCACTTCTACACTTTTTCAAAGTGGAAGTGAAAAGAAATGGTTTAAGAACCATAAAGAAAGGTCATCCTGCCAGATATCTGGTTTCCCCAAACTAATGAGAACTAAATACCTTATGACACATCAACATTACTTGATAGGAATTAGTCAGTGCTACTGGCCTGGGTCAGCAGGAGGTGGTGACTCTTTATCTGGTACTCCTTGTTCCACAGCTTCTCCAACAGCACTTAATTCTATTGGTTCAGACACTGAATAAAGGGCAGAAATGAAGGTGACAAAACTTTCAGTATATAACCTGTTAAATAATGAATAAAAACCAGCACTGCAAACCTAAATTCTTTATCGAGTTTAGAAAATGTTTAAATATCAGTCATATATTTGATAGGAAACAGCAGTTTTTCTTTCTGCTCAACAGAATGGAAATTATAGAAGGTTGAGGAAAAAAATAAAGGAAAAATAAGAACGATAGTGGTGCTTTTCAGAGTTGAGGATAGTTATTTGTAGGATCCAGATTTTTCAAGCTAAGGTACTTTTCCATCAGCCTGTCATTTGAATCAGTTGACAGGCTGATAAATAAGAGTGATAAATAAGTTTTAATATGTAATTCTTTTTAAAAAAACATTGTTTTAAAGGTGTGGGAAGAGGCAAACAAAACTTTCTAAATCACGGGCTATTTTGTATACAAACCTTCTTTATTTTCTAACTGCTGTGGTGTTTTTTTCTTCTTTTTATCTTCATAAACTGGCCTTTTCTTTGGCAAAGAGTCTTTTGATGGCACTTCAACGCCTGAAAAATAAAAATGGAAAACTTCAGGTTTATACTATTTGTATGTCACCTACAGAGTGCTGCTTAAAAAGATAACATTTTATTCACCTCAGAGATACAAACCCTAAAATACAAAAGAACATTCATGGGAAAAAACCTCTATTTTTATATAAGATATTTCAAATTTTATATACAATTCCACTTTTGGTGTCCAGTCCTATGGCTTTGCCAAATGCTTGGTTATACAGCCACCATCACAATGAAGGTGCCACCACCCTGTGCGGTGCTGTGCAGTCAAACCCTACTCACACTCTTGGCTCCTGGCAACCACAGACCTGTTCTCACCCTCAAACATCTGCATTTTCCAACATGTCACAGAGATAAAACCTTACAATCTGCTTACTGTCATCATTAGGAATGAGACATCTCCCACTGTATGCACCGATGCTGTTTCTTTTTGCTGCTGAGCAGTGCCCACTGCATGGATGGACCACAGCTCCTTTATTCAGTAGACAGCCAAAGGACATCCGAGTTGTTTCTAGTTTTTATAAATTGTGAATAAAGCTGCCATGAAATTTTGTATGTAGGTTTTGTGAGAACATTTCTCTGGAGTAAATATTTTGGAGTGGGAATAAGGGGACATTATGTAAATATGATTTAGCTTTGTAAGAAACTGCCCGGTTTTCCAAAGTAGCTTTACAATTTTGCATTCCCACCAGTAATGTATGAGCGTTCCAACTGCTCTGCATCCCTGCTGGCAGTTTGGTAAACAAAAGTGTTTTTTATGTATTTAGAATTTATATATTTGAATAAGTGTGTAGTGATCCCTCACTGTGGTCTTAATTTGAATTCCCCTAACAGTTTATGATTTTTGAGCATTCTTTAAACATGCATACATTGTCTTGGTGAAGTATCTGTTTAAATCTTTTGCCCTTTTTCAAATAAGATTTTTGAGTTTCTTATTGTTGAATTTTGAGTCGTCGTTATATATTCTGGATATTAATCCTTTGTCAAATGTGAGATTTTCAGGTATTCTCTTTGAATTCTCAATGGTACTTTCTGTGGAAAAAAACTTTTAAACTGGACTTCCTCAATTTTGTTATCATTTTTCCTTTATTGGATTATGCTTTTGATGTTATAACTAAGCATTCCTTACCTAATACAAGTTCATAAAGATTTTTGTTTTCCTCTAAAAATTTTATAGTTGTATTTACTGAACTGCCTTTTACCTATCACAAAAAAATTAAAAAATAAAAAAATGACCACGTATGGACTATTTTGTTCTACTGATTTGTCTATCCTTTTGCCAATAACACCCTATATTAAATTACAGCAGCTTTATAGTAAGTCTTAAAATCAGATATTTTATATATACATCTTCCAAAAGTTTGTTCTTTTTCAAAAATATTCTGGCCATTCTACTTTTATCTTTTCCTACATATTTGCAAAATAGCTGATACATATCTATAAAATATCCTGCTGCAATTCTAATTAGGACTGCATTGAATCTATACTCACCAGCTGTAGGGTTTTGTGTTTTTTCAGGGGTAGATTCCATGGAATTTTCTATGCAGACAACTGTCATCTATGAATAGACAGTTTTACTTCTTCCTTCCAATCTGTACGCCTCCTTTTATTATTTATTTTTCTGCCTAATTGCCCAAGCTAGGACATTCTAGCACAATGTGGAATGACTACAGTGAGACTGAAAATCCTTGCCTTAATCATGATTAAGGTTAAGTATTCAGTCATTCACCATTAAGTGAAATAGCTCTATGTTCTCTGTAGACGTCATTTATCATGGTAAGGAAACTCCTTTCTATTTCTAGTTTCTAAATTTTTATCATATGTAAATGTTGAGTTTTGTCAAATTTTTCTGCATCTATTCAATGACTGTGTTTTCTTCGTTAGTTTGTTAATATGGGTAAAACAGAGCTATTGATTTTCAAATACTGAACCAGCCTTGCATTCCCAGAATAAAAACCACTGGGTCATAATAGATTATCATTATATATAAAAATATATAAATACACAGACATAAATATATATATACATATTGCTGGAATCAAATTACTGATATTTTGTTGAGAACTTCTGCATCTTTGTTCATTAGAGACATTGGTCTGTAGTTTTCCATTCTTATGTCTTTGCCTCACTATGGTATAAGCCAGTTGTCCCCAACCTTTTTAGCACAAGGGACCAGTGCCCCTATTAGAATGTAATGCCTGATGATCTGAGATGGAACTGAGGCAGTGATGCTAGCACTGGGGAGCGGCTGCAAATACAGATGAAGCTTCTTTAGCTCATCTGCCACTCACTTCCTGCTCTGCAGCCTGGATCCTAACAGACCACAGACTGGTAGCAGTCTGTGGCCTGGGGACTGGGGACCCTTGGTATAGGGGAAATGATGTCCTCACAAAATGAGTTGGGTAGTTTTGGAAGATAATGTTTCTAAGTAGCAATATTTCTTCTTTAAATATTTACTAGAATTCCCCAGTGAAATCAAAGGGGACTGGCATTTCTTTGCTGTTTTTTTTTTTTACTTAGATAAAATATAAATTGATACTGGATTATAGTTTTAAAATACAGATGTCCCCCCACCTTATCCGTGGTTTTACTTTCCACGGTTTCAGTTATTCATGGTCAATAGCGTCGCTGTCTGAATATATTAAGTACAAAATTCCAGAAATAAACAATTCATAAGTTTTAAATTAGACATAACTCTGAATAGTGTGATGAAATTTTGCACCGTATTGCTCCATCTCAGCCTGGATATGAATCATCCCTTTGTCCAATGTCTCCACACTGAATATGCTCCCTACCAATTAGTCACTTTGCAACCATCTCGAGTATAAGATCAACTGTCATGGTATCAGAGTGCTTGTGTACAAGTCACCCTTATTTTACTTAATGATAGCCTCAAAGCACAAGGGTAGTGATGCTGGCAATTCAGACATGCAAAAGTGAAGCTGAAAAGCGCTTCTTTGAAGTGAAAAGGTAAAAGTTCTCAACTTAATAAGAAAAAAAATCATATGTTGAGAATAAGATCTATGATACAAATGATCTTCTATCCACAAAATTGTGAGGGGAAAAAGCAATTTGTGCTAGTTTTGCTGTTGCACCTCAAACAGCAAAAACCTAAGCACATAGTATGTGACAGGTGCTTAGAAGAGGCATTGAATTTGTAGTGGAAGACATGAACAGAAATGTGTTCTAACTGATAGCTACGTGTTGCACCAGAAAGCACCGAGCCTATGTGAAGACTTCAGCAAGTAAGAGATCCCCTGAAATGACACCAAGCCATTTACTGCAAGTAAGAGATGGTTACACAGATTAAGGAATATGTTTAGACTGAAAAATATAAAGATTATTGGAAAGGCTGTGTCTGCCAATGAAGAAGCTTCTACCATATTTCCAGCAGTTAAAGAAGCTGATTAAGGAGAAAGGGTACCATCCAAAGCAAGTCTTCAACTGCAATAAAACCAGACTATTCCTGAAGATGCCCAACAGATTTGAGAGAGACCACATTCACATAACTCTTATTACAGTATAGTTACAATTGTTCTATTGTATTATTGTTAGTTTCTTACTGTGCCTAATTTATAAATTAAATTTTATAAGCACGTATGTGTACAAAAAAAAAGTGTAGGTAGGGTTCAGTATTATCCATGGTTTCAGTCGTCCACTGAAGGGTCTTGGAATGCGTCTTCTGCAGTTAAGAGCAGGGCTACTGTAGATATAGGACTACCTGGGTTATGTATTTCTTTGTGAGTTTTGGTAGTTTGCACCTTTTAAGGAATGGCTCTGTTTTATGTAAGTTTTTGAATTTATGAGCATAGAGTTACTCATTATATTGCCTTATCACTTTAATAACTGTAGGATCTGTAATGATATCCCCACTTATCCTTATCACTTCCGATATCAATCGTGTTTTTTTTCCTTAGTCTAGAAATTTATAAAATTATTTTTTTCAAGAACTGGCTTCTGGCTTCACTGACTCTCTACTTTTTGTTTGTTTTCTATTGCATTATTTTCTGCACTTTATTTCTTTCTGCTTACTTTACTCTTCTATTTTTTGGTTTCTCAGGATGGAAAACAACTTTATTTGCAGCTTTTCTTCTGTTTCTGAAAAAAAGCACTTACTGCTATAAATTTCCCTCTAAGCATTGCTTTAGATGCATCCCCAAAGTTCTGATGTGCTGTATCTTCATTTTTTTTTTAACATATTACTAATTTCTAAGACTTCCTCTTGGACTCATGGATTAAAAAGTATGTTGTTAAATTTCCAAATATTTATGGATTTTAACATTTCTGTTATTCATTTTTAGCTTGTTATGATCCAAAAAACCACATTGTATGATTTCAATTCTTTTACATGTTTTCAAGTTTAAATATCTTTTTGGTAAACTCACTTATCATTATGTAACATCTCTCTTTATTCCTGGTAATTTTATTTGTTCTGAAGTGTACTTCAGGTTAATGTGATGCCAGCTTTCTTTTGATACCTGTTTTTATCCTTCTAACCTTTCTCTATTTGTATATTTAAAGTGGATTTCCTGTAGATAGCTGCCTTGTTTCTCCAACAATCAATTCCTTTTAAATGATGTTTACACCATTCATATTTAACCTAATTATTAGTATAGTTGGTTTTAGGCCTATCATTTTATTTGATTTCTGTTGGTTCCCTTTGTTTCCGGTTCCCATTTTCCTCCTTTCCTGCTTTCTTTGGATTATTTGGTTCTTTTTTAGATTTTGACTTTAACTTACCTACTAACTTTGGGGCTTAATTTTATTTAGTGGCTGTTACAGGATTGAGAATATTCATAACTTTCCACAGTATACTTAGAATTAATATTTTACCTGGCACATGAGCCATTTGGAGGTAAATCTGGGTCTTGGACAGTAGTTTATATCATGGTTCACTACTTGAAGTTTGGCTATGCTTCTCTGCAAGCACATATTGCTCCATGGTGAGCCCAGGACTTATGTCACTTCATAAAAAGAATTCCAGGGCACTCTTC